AAGTGGTCATGTTTTGGATACATTTGATATAATGCAGATTATTTTGGCTTTTCAACTGATATTTCAAGTCTTGATGTCTCGTGTACATATCAATGATGCTCTGTTATATTGTGCAGACTTAATATACATTGCTGGAAATTTAAGATGGTAGACTACATAATACTGATAAAAAGTTGAATATCTAGAGAATGAAACTTGATATAAAAAAAATTGAAAAATCTGTGGAGCTCTTTCATCTTGGAACATCATGTTGTTTGCCCAGACTTCCCCTTCAACATGTTATCAACAATGTATTTTGTTGAACCAGATATTACCAGTAATAGACGAAGATAAACATACCTTAGTTCTCATGCAAATGGCCAAAAAGTCTAGTAGAAAGCTCCATGGCTGAAACTTTTAATATTCAATTTAAAACATGGAAACAGGAAGCTGATAACATGCAATATATTGTAAAATGTTTTAGTCAACTTTTCTTATGAATTATAAACCAACAGAACTGCCCCAATATTTAAAGTGTGTTTATTATTTATAAATATGATTTTGCAACAACTTTCTTAATTATAGATCATATTTATTTCTTATAATTACTTGTCTTTCAATTTACAGGAGGAAGACTACCCAAGTGTCATGCTTGCTATCTTTATTGAATATCCAACTCCATTCATCACAGAATTCTTTCAAAAAATCGCAAACTTATCATATCCCAAAAACAAGATTGATATTTTTATACATAATTCAGTAAGTCAAAATTATTTTCTTTTTCTTTTTCATGCTTACTGTTTTATTTTGCGTAGATTTTACTCATGTACTGGAAAGACAATACTTGTTTCTTTCAAAATACCCTATTTTCTGTAGATTACATCTCCAATAGAAGTGCATATAAACCAAAAGTTGAGTTTGTTGTATTCTGAATCATTATAATATTAATGTAATGATTAGAGGCTATGATGTTTAGTTTAGTTATTTGCATAATGATATTGATACATTGTATGGAACATCTCGTGAGTACTTCGACTCAGTTCCAGGCCTAGCAGTTGAGCAACAAACACCTTGGCTACAAGTGCTCCTTTCCAGTGCATTATTCTCCCGGATTTGGTGACCAATACTCACTTGGTTCACTCTACCTTGAGAAGTCTGTTCTCAGTTTACAATTAATCATAGAGAATCCTCTGTCATTTATAAAGCATGCACTACTAATAGAACAAATACAGTATTTTCAGGCTTAAATATGAATCTGTTGAAATGTACAACCAAGGATTTATATAAGATATAGATAATTCAACCTATGTACTATTATGTGTGATGGAGATCCCATTCTGTTTTGTCAATCAAAACATATTTCTAACCAGTAGCATCAGAATGCTTCCCGACACTAGAAAACAACCTGAGCTGAGCTGTTGTAAACAATACTCTGAAGAACAAGAATTATTTCTTAATTATTACATTATTTGGTACCTCAAAGGAGATGCCAAAATTGCAAGGCGACAATGTTACCCTGTTTGTATACTACACCAGTTATATATCATTATTCTAGATATTCTCAGTATGTATGTGAACAAAGCTAGAAACGTTACAAACTGGTGATCAACGAAATAATCAAGATCAGATGTTCTGGTTTCTACTACTTACTAAGTCTCATAGCACTAATTAAAACTCCAAAGACGACGATGTTCGTGTTTGTGTGAATTTCTCCAAAAAAAAAGGGTTACAAAGATCAATATATTGTTTAATTTGTTGAAACCACATGTATGTAATATTATTCTGGTCAGTAAAACACATGTTGGTCAGCTCAAACTCCTACAATATTCTCAGAAACGCAGCCAGTTTGGAAGTGTCTAATCAACAGTTGCCCAGATCTACAGGTCACTGGTACTTGTCAATAAACAAAGCTTCACATACAAGTCTAACAGCTGACTTAAATGAAGTACGGCCTCATACATCGCATTTCAGATAAAACATGGTGAAAGAAAACTCATTGGCTAACATCAATCATAAAATTTGAGGGCTATTAACGTTGGATCCAAGATTAATACTGCCCTCTAGTGGCAGCAATTTAAACTTTTGTTTTTTTCAAAATCTGTAAATCTGATGAGTGTAAATCTTCTGATTATTTTCCAGGCTGCGTTCCATGAGTTAGATGTGTCTGATTTTTTAGATGATTACAGTGAAGTGTACAGTTCAGTGAGAGAATTACCACCAAGCTATAGTCTTAGTGAATATGAAGCAAGAAATAGAGGCTTGTAAGACCATTTTATAAACTACATTGTTTGTACTACCATTTATTTTCACTGGCATTAATTTAACTATTTTGATGTTTTAAGTTCACAAACTTGGAAGGTGAACAATTAGTTTTATTGTTTTTTTATATGTTTGAGAAAATAGCAAATAATTAATGCTTACATTATGTACTGCTTATACATTAATGAACTTGTGATCTAAGTTGGCACGCTCCTAAAATTTTTCAAATAAATTTTAGTATTTGACAAACTTAGACATGAACCATTAGAAATACAGTAACAGCAACAACTTTGCAGATTTTTCTGTTGTTGCTGTTGC